GAAAATAATTTTTACGTCAAAAAAAAAATGACCCGGTCGTTCTCTTTTGGAAAAACGATGTAACTCCGCTAAAACTGTATCAAATCAACTGTTTAAGGGGTTGTTTTACATCAAAATTTTATTTTAAATTCAAATATACTGTTCTTTCTTCATATAGAGCAAGATTTCGGATCGAAAACCATCAATGTTTGCTTTTGAAACCTTTTCCAAAGTTTGTTTACTGCAAATCCTCACACACGTTGCTCTATCGCGAGATCCTTGGAACAAATCTAATCTGATTTGTCATAGAGGACTTCTATTCTTTTATTGAATTCATCTTTTTGTAGTCAAGTCAAGGCGATGTTACTAAGCTGTTTTGATGTTTCTTCCATGTAGCTCTATCCGAAAAACGACTCCACATTAGTTCCATTTGGATTTGTTTCGATGGATCATTGATGAACACGTAGCCTTCGACATGCAACCATCTAGTATATAGCAAAAAACAGTCTGGAATCACTGTGAATAGATGTAAGTTACAAGTTCTCTTCAGCTATCAATGTATCAACATTTTGGTTTTATTGGATCATTCAGTTTGTTTCAGCGCATCTCTTGTTGATAGTTAACTATAACAACTGTCTTGCCAACCCTCGGCGCATTTTGTTATCAGCCATCTTATCAGACATTAATGAACAGGGAATCCGAAGGAATTGGGTACGAACTCGCCGAGTCACATTGAGACCTTAAAAGAGGTAATTTAAGATAACGTGAAACTCATTTTTAGTCTCACAGTAGCTATCCTATTAGATACTAACAGGCTCTGTTTCTTGCTTAACATGTGAAAGAAGTTTATTGTCTACTTAATCGTGTTTTTTTGAAATCTTGCGCTTCTACCATGATGTTTCAGTAGTCAGCATGGCTCGGTCACAAGTCTTTTTTGATATCAGCATCGCGGAAAGGCCTGTTGGACGCATTGTCTTTGAGGTTCGTTTAGTAGTGGAAGCATCGTTCGATCTGTAATTGATTGCAGCTCTACAACGATTATGTCCCAAGAACTGCCGAAAATTTCCGTGCTCTCTGTACTGGAGAAAAGGGTAGAGGAGAGAAAGGAATGCCTCTTCATTATAAGGGATTACGTTTCACTCGTGCCATCCCTAACTTTATGATCCAAGGGGGAGATGTAACTCGCGACAACGGAGAAGGAGGAGATTCAATCTATGGAGAGAGATTTGACGATGAAAGCTTTGCTCTACGCCATACTGGACCAGGGATTCTCACTATGGTGTCGCTTGTAAGAAATCATGATTATTTTTTTTCTCTAGGCTAGTGCCGGACCAAACACGAACGGATCCCAGTTCATCATTACAACTGCAGAAGCATCATTTCTTGATGGTAAGCATGTTGTATTTGGAAGGGTTATAAGTGGAATGGGTGTGGTCATGGAAATCGTAGAACGAGGAAGTCTATCAGGAGAGCTGACAGAACGTGTCATTATCGCTGACTGTGGAGAGCTGTAAGTTACCATCTTTTGAGCTTTAGAATATCTTTATGTTGCCTGTACTTCTCACCCAACTCATGCTGTTAGATCATGTTCAAACTTTCTTGCCAACCTCGAGCTATTGTTATCAGCCAGCTTATCTCTACGCATTCCGTTTGACCCTTTCCGCGCCGTTGTGAGCCCTTGCGTTCTATAATCGAAATAAAGGCAAATTGCCTTTTTTTGTACTTAGTGAGGTCTGCTTTGAAACCCTGAAGTGTACGAGAGTGACTGCTTCAAAAGTTTTTCCTATGATCCCTTGATAACGCAGCTTCACTTCACTATTGCTCTCGCATCATCTTTGGCCTATTTCGGGATGACTTTTCAGGACAGTTCATCATCCTAAAGTATTTTTCGACCTTGAAATTGGAGAAAATGTATCCGGACGTCTTATCATGGAGGTTTTTTTGTTTTAATTCGTGTACATCACAATCCCCAAATCAATTTAGCTCTTTTACGATCATGTCCCGAAGACTGCCGAGAATTTCCGCGCTCTCTGTACAGGAGAGAAAGGGATGAGTAACGCTGGACCACCCCTTCACTATGTTGGATGCCATTTTGATAAGATTATCCCAGGAGTCGCGGCCATAAGCGGTGACTTCACCCATGGTTCAGTAGATGGAGGAGAATCGATCTATGGGGGGGAATTCGCGGACGAAAACTTCTTGGCAAAGCATACCGGACCAGGTATTCTCTCTATGGTTCGTTCTATAGATACCGTACTTGAATTTCTTTATATTATTCAGTGTAATAGCGGACCAAACTCGAATAGATCACTATTCATGATTACAACTGGTGAAACTCCTGAGTTTGATGGCAGACATGTTGTCTTTGGAAGAGTTGTGCAGGGAATGGACTTAGTTATGGAATTAGATCGTCAGGGAACTAAATCTGGAAAACCCCTAGTTACTTGCTATATTGCCAACAGTGGGCAGTTGTCATAGGTTTTAATCTCTCTATCTTTCTTTGTATTAATTTGTTAGTTGAATTGAATCATTCATCCCGCTTCATGTTGGCAGTTCATGTGAACAAGTGTTTTGTCGAACTCTGCACAAACCCATTCTATAATAAACTGTTTATCTATTGAACTGTGATTGTTGAGTTTGAAAGTCAATATAGGATAAGACATTCCTACTATGGTATTTGCTTTTCTGTTCATCCAAGTTCTTAAACATTTAGTTTCAACTGAGCTCCCCTCACTCTGTTTTCATCGATTTTTCTGTTTTTCGCCTATTTTGCTCAACTTACTGGTTATCGATTGATTCCGTGAGTTCCCTTCTAATCGGTTGTCTGTACACCATTTTCTTTGGAATTTTCAATTTTCATTTTCGGTTTGAAGTGTTCGATTTATATAGATGTACAGACTGTTGTACTGAATGATACTTTTCTGATATATTGTTCATTATAGATTCCAATAAAGTTTACATGAATCGCTTTGTACACTAATCCAAAGGATCCCCACCTTCATCTAAGTGGTGAGTCTTCTTAAGTTGGCTTATAATTTTACTTAAGCTTCCCAGCTCTTAATACTCTGACGAGAGAGAGACTAGAGTACAGAACCATCTCGGCAGAGGCCTAGGTTACTGTAACCGCAGCGCGCGATGAGCTTTCGTCCCCATTTTCGCAAGCTTTTTTCTACGTGTACACTCATCGGGACATTACGAAACCTATCTCATTCGATTCCTCAGGTTGTCAGCTTTCGAATGATATACCATTGTCCAGGTTTTACATTTTTGAGCTTTTCCTTTGAAGCTGTATAACTCAGTCCATTTCAGAGATTCCAAGCTCAAACCTGGACAGAAGGTCTTAGGATCCTCTCGTGCTGCTTCTGTCCAAGTTTGGTTAGGATTGAAGCTGATGACTTTTGGACCCCCCGGCAAAAATGAAAAAAAGGCTGAACTAACATAAGGCTTTTTTCCATTTTGGGCCAAAATTTTTCTCCTCGATTTTTTCAGCTTTTCAGATGCAGAATTGGATGCTGGTCATCCCTAAGTAGATGAAACTTCTTGAAGGTGCCTCGTTTAAAAGATATAAGCTTTAGAAGATTTCAGACGCGTTGCGGTTCCTTGGGTTGAACTGTGCTCCAATGAACTCAGTCCATTTCTGGAAGTTTGAGGAAGTTTCAACTGGAATTCTGATGAAGGTTGGTGTTTTGATTGTTTGTTTTCTTATTTCTGTTCTGTTATGCTTTCTCATGCTTTCTGTGAACTTCTTTGCGCTTTCAAGTTTTCTGTTAGTTAGTTGGGCAATGCTCC